AATTGCCCTCAAAATGGTAAAATGAACTAAAATAAACCTTTGTTTATAACTACTACAATATTACATTTCATTTTGTCCAAGGAGCTGTTTGATTTTTATATGCCTCTAAGAAGAGTCAACTATAGCTCCATCATTATTTAAAGAGCACCTATCATGGATTTTTTGAAAAGGACTGTTCATGTAATGTGGAATATAGCTCTAAGGGAATGAAAACATCCTGCAAAGATTTATATCTGAAAGTGCACCGTATATAAAGTTATTGTCTTTCAAAAGTGAGAGTCGACTCTGAGTCTATGAAATGAATTGTTTTTGAAACGAGTCATTAGCTGTTACATCGTGACGTAGATGTAGCATGCACAATATAGTTATATTGTGTTGTGTGTGTTGTGTACACTCCACGCAGCTTCTAAGCAGGGTAAAGTTAGTTTTGTTTATGATGTTCACCAGACATTCATTGAAAAATGGCAATTACCTCCTAAACGACTTAGCCAAATATGACTTCGCTCTATATAATAAGCACTGCCCCTCAAAAGCCGCCGCAATGTGAGTTTCGCCAGGAAAGCTTGCTCTTGACGGAGACGCGAGTAAGGGACCGTGTGGAAAGTGCACTTTTTCTGACACGTTTGTTCAAACACTATATACAATTTTCAACACTTGACAAGCTATAATCCTGGTTATGGGCGCTCTGTTGCCGACAGTCTCTGCCTACGGTTTACCAATAACAACTGACGCAGATTCACATCACTCAAAGGAGGTGTTTGGGAAAATGAATCGTCTAACTAATCATTTGGGAGTCGTTGAGCAAATCAGTTATAAATAAATGCATATTACAAGACAAATAAAGTGTTTTTTATCATTGCATGCACGTTAAATTGTTTTTGGGAACTCCTAAAGCAAAAATAGGAACATTTAAAATGCTATGATAGTGGCTCTTTAAAGTTTAAAAAATATCATACTTTTATGTTAGTTTTAATAAAAAAAAAATAATAAAAAATATTAAATCAAGGAAATTTCTCTAGCATTTTTCTTTTTGCTGTATGGAAAACATACCGAAATGTGACACAAGTGTATTGTATCGAACCAAACTGGTGGTATGAATTTTGTGAACCGTTATACCCCTAATTTTCCTTATTAAATCCAGTCTTGCAGCAGGCTCTGTTGCCACTCAGTCAGGCTGAGGGGGTGTTCTGGCGGGAAAGTGACGTCAATGCATATACCCTCTATTGAGTAGCATTTCAGATTTTCAGTGCTTCACAGAAACTCTTTTTATAGTTTAAGGAGTCAGCTTTGCGGAAACAGTCACTGTATTTGAAGTTTGACCCGCTGTTGAAGGAAAGTCCAAAGAAAAGTTTGGTGGACTGCGGCAACTCTGGATTCAGCCTGCCACGGCCTTCTCTTGCCATCAGGTCAGTGTTCTCCACAAACGCATTCAAATCAACGCTTTCTTGATTTTCGAAAATAAATATTACAAGTTTCCTCAATGTAAGAGATCTGATTTACATTGTGATCAAAATCTAGAGTGCACACATGAGCGATCATGCAAACTTAATTTGTGTGGTAGGATGATGGAGGCTGCAAAGTCTGAAGTAAAGCAGAAGTCTCACTATGACAGCATGAAACTGCTGGATGATCTGCCTCCACCAGTAAGACAACACAAACTCCCTAACCCTCCCTTGGTTTTGTAACATTGTTACTATGTTAGTAGACACTGAAACAAGCATTTTCCTTTGGACACTGGAGCCAATTTTACCATGTCTATTCCTCTTCAGGCAGTGGAAACTGTGGTTCCAGATCCAACTGTTCTGGACTTACTGGTTCACACATTAAAACAGCCTGTGAAGACTGAGGACTCCATCATAGATGTTCTGAAGTACAGTCAGAGAGACGTGGATGCTATGCTGCAGAAAGCAGATAGAAAGGTCAGTTCCTACACAAGATTATGAGCTTCATGTCTCATTGGCCTCTCTAATGCTTGGTTTGTCTTTTCTTAGGCAGCAGAACAGCAAAAAGAAATGCAGACTCAGATTGACAAATTGTGTCTGGAGAATCAACACATGTTGTAAGTCCTATTAAGACAAACACTTTCACATAGGGGGGTTACCATGATCATTGCCTTTCGCGATTGGAAAAGTGATGGAAATATCAAGAACGAATATTTGGTCCAATTGATCTCCCTCTTGTGATGTTTGAATTTTGAAAAAGTTGTTCTCTGAGCTTGTTCTTTCAAATTTGATTCTCAAATAAGTAGGGTATTGAGTATCAATACTTTTTAGCCATCGACCAAATTGCCTCTACCATGGAGTATCAAAAAATCTCTCGTCGTTCGTTACCCAAGGGATTAATCTTGTCAATCTCAGTTAGCCAATAATCATGCTGCATGACTGGCGATTGCAAGGCATCAAGGAAAAACCCAAATTTAGGCCAATTACACCCAGAGACATGGCTTCCACATGAGGTGTAACCACCATAGATTTAAAAGATGTCAGCACTCCAGCACATTGATTGACATTCGATGCCAACAGTGCGCAATGCGATATTTGCGACAAGATAATTGCTGCCGAGACCGGCAACACGAAGCATTTAACAGTGCATGTAATAAATTTAGAGCAGAAGTTTCTCCGTTTTTAGACTGCATGAAGAACTGGAGTGTGTCACAAATTAACCGAAACTCATATAGGCTTCTTGCCTCACAGACATGAGAAATAGGCATATTGGAAAGCTTAAAGCTTTTAAACGAATCAATTCAAATTGAAAACTAATAATCTGATTATATACATTATGTACATTTCTTTCTTTAGGCATGCGTGCATTCACTACTGTGGAGATGACAAGTCAGCAATGTCAACTTCATCTTTGCAGCCAACACGTTTATTAACAAACAATTAAAACGTCTGTGCTATTTCCCCCGACACATTCATAATCATTAGGCTACATTTGCCAGTGCTTTGCGGCAAGCTTTGTGTGTGCTAGTATCGCCCCCCAGTGGGTGGTCCTAGTATAGGTCATAAACCCCGCCTCCCCATGTTATTCAACGGCATGCGAGACCAACTAAACAATTAAATTACATTTCAAATATAGTTTTTCCAAATATGATTTCTGGCATTTACTGTAGTTTTTAGTTAGTTATGTTGCGGTGGTGGTGACATGATTGACAGCTGTGATAGAAGGTTCTCTGACCAAAGTAGTCACTAAAGCACCAACAAACTTTTTTCGGGATCTTCAAGGGACGGAGGAGATTGGAGCGTTAAAGTTAATATCTAAATTTCTATAATTAATTTTTAAAAAAGTGCAGGAGCATGTTCTTGCGATTGATTCTGGACAAAGAAATGGACAGATTTCCACAGAGAAATTTGAAGTCCATTAGAAGATTAGAGTTTCTCCTTCTGTCTATACGGTAATTTCTCCATGCAATCGTTAGCTTATTTTTACAAAAACGGCTTCTACGGGGCCATAGCGTAAGATGCTAAGTAATGGTGCCATCTATCTATTGTCCTGTTTCTTAAGAAATAATGGACAAATAGAGTCTTTGGACGCCTCAAATGTAAAGTTATTGGCGAAGCTTAACTTTCCGGCTGGTGGATTACCTCCTTGGTAAAGGTCAACAAACTGAGAAAATAAAACCAAAGATTTTTGTTGGGGTAATGAAATCTTGTTAAAAAAGATTTCATCTAATTGGTGTCAAAAAAAGTTGCGTTCAGGAAACTATATCGAACATTTTGAATGATACCCAGCCCTACAAATAAGTCAATTTAAAGAAAAGACACCAAGGAATGATTTGCTTACCATTAAAAAAAAAAAAACATCTCAAGAGCAAGATAATGATTCTTGTGAAATCCATAATGAATTATTGACATTTGAACAATGCACCAATCTCACTCAATCTCTTCCTCCTCTTCTCAGGTTCATAGTGTCTGAATTTGAGGCCACCATCACTCAAATCACAGGTGTGACCAGATTTTTTTTTTATTAAGTACACTATTTTTAAGGAGTATGTTTGATATTAAAACGCATTTGTTTACAGATGAGCATAAACAGAAGGAAGACTTGGCGAAAATTGAGTTGGAGCGAGTCCTTCAGGAAAAAGATCAGCTGTCTAAAGATTTGAATGAAATGGAGCAGTCCTTCTCCTCTGTTGTCAAACGTCTTGACAGATGCAAGGAAGTTATTGAGGGTTTCAAAAAGGTACACTGAGACTTCTGCAACAAGACTAGCAGACTTAATCCCAAATCAAGATGATATTTTAGTGTGTAACGGTAATTTTTTTTTTCCCCCCTTCTGTTCTATAGAATGAGGAGACACTAAAGCAGTACGCTCAGAACTGCATGGACAGACTGCAGAAAGAGGAAAAGCGTTATCAAGCTCTGAAGGCCCATGCTGAGGAGAAACTAGATCAGTACGTGCTCTTCAAACAGTCTGTAATGTCTGAAATATGTCCTTTCTTATGAACGTAATAGTACAGTGAACCTGGAGCGATTAATATGGCTAAAAAGTCTCAACAATGCCACTGTTTCAGAGCAAATAAGGCCATATCCGAGGTTCGCACTAAACTGGGCGCAGAGGTGGCAACGCTGCAGGTGCAGCTCAAGAGAGAACATCTGAAAGTTCAGTCCCTAGAGAGGGATCTGGAACAAAAGGTACATGAGCGCACACGAGGGATGTCACTCTTGCAGTGGTGGTACAGCAGATCCTTATGGGTGTAGGGCTGAATTACTTGGTGTTTAACATCTATATTGTTTTTGTTGTTGACATTTGCTATTTTCTATTCTCAGGCTAAAGAAGTCAAAGATGTCACAGATCTGTGTGATGAGCTGCTGTTAAAAGTGCAAAAGCATGGTTTTTAACGCACTTTGCCCTTTGTGTTCATTATTTGTGTTGGTTCGTTATTTGTATTTGTTGTAAGGATTTTTAATAAATAAATAATCATACAAACACCCAGTTTTTGCCAATCGTGTTAATCTTGAGTACCTAAAGTGGTATTGCATCATATCTCCAAAAAGTCTTTAGTTTTATTATATTTGTAAAAAAAAAAAAAAAAAAAAAAAAGGTGTAATTTGCAGGTGGGACAGAAGGGACATGTCCTCGCCATTTTTTACCAGGGTCGATATGGTCCCCACCCCTTTTGAAACATCTCACGGCACCGATGTAAATACAAATGAATAAGAACATCTCTAGTTAACTAGCCGAGAATTACTTTCATTCGTTTGTAAAATAAGAGGCCATCTAGCGCTGAAATGTGGTGTTTTTGAAGCCAAGTGATCAAAGTGCTCGTCGATCAGTGGTGCGGATACAGTGTTCTCTGTGGCTCATTCTTCCACAGCCACTGATAAACATGTGAAGAGTTCAGATGCAAAAGCCTCTAAGTGCCATTTGAAATTTTCTTCTAGAATGATCATTTTTATCAAGCTTGTATATTTAAGTTCAGTGATTTCACTTAAATGGCAATGATAATTACCTATTAATTGTTATTTAAGTGAAATTACTGAACTTAAATATACAAGTTTGATAAAAATCATCATTAAAGAAGAAAATTTCAAATGGCATTTAGAGGCTTTTGCATCTGAACTCTTCATGTATACATACACACACACACACACACACACATATATATATATATATATATATATATATATATATATATGTGTGTGTATACACATATACACACACACACACATATATATATATATGTATGTGTATGTGTATATATATATATAATATAGTGCGGATTAGAACCCAGACCCTATGGCAAAAGTTCTGCCACTGGACCATTAAAGTGCATGCTGGACAGTGGGTCTATCTTAAAGGAACACTCTGACTTTTTGGGACTTTAACCTATTCACCTTATCCCCCAGAGTTAGATAAGCCAATACATACCTTTTTTTTATCTCCGTGCGTGCTATAAGTCTGTTTGACGCACCCACCGCTAGCCTAGCTTAGCACAAAGACTGGATGTGAATGGTTGCAGCTTTCATACTAATCCAAATGAGTGACAAAATAACGCAAACGTTTTCCTATTTACATGTTGTGGTTTGTATAGTCACAGAGTGTGCAAATATCAAGGCCATATGAGACACAGACATCTTTAAACCGTATAAATACTATATTTTCTGAAGGAGAAGCACTGCTACTTGGCAGTGATAATCACCTGAGACGCACCGTGACGAGGAGCAGAGAGTTCGCTCAGTGTTGGAGTAAAGAGTCACAAAATTACTAACGTTAGATAGAAAAGCATAGTTTATCATGGGTGTTTGCTTAATGAGCTGTGACAATAAACAGGGAAGACCAGGTAATACAGTACCATGTTTCATTGATTTCCAACCAAAAACGCACCCAGATTTATAAATCACATGAATAAATAATTATTATTACAGGAATCAATATATTTTAAATGCAATTTATTAGCTGAACCAAATGCATTAAACAGTATATAATATACAGTATAATTGCATTACTATAGGATAGAATAAGGGGAAAGTAATCGCACAAATTGTTTTTGCACAATGAACTCACAGCCTATCGTACCCTTTTGCACGCTCAAGTTCGTTATTTCCATGGTTATTTCAAATTTAGGCTACTAGGCGCGCAGGGTGCAAGTTCAACGCGGTGAACGCGCTCGTTTTTTTCCAAGCGCGTCTGCGCCGCGTAAAGATAAAAACATATTCATACCCTAATCATATAATAGTGTCACTAACGTTACATTAGCTCTGGCTAATGGCACTGTTACAGTAGGTCATCTAAAAACATAACGGAACACTTACCTCAGCCGCAGGTGATCCACTTGTCCTGTCTGTGCTATCGATGGGATGGCCGTATCCTTCAGCACATTATGGTCCGTGTGGCAAATTCCATTTTTTCAAAATAGTTGTCCATTGAAATGTACCGAGCAAACATAATGTTTGAATAAATATCCAGAGTAAGTTAGCCATTTCTTCATCCAGTCAGCGTTTTTAGTTGGAATTCTGTGAAACATGGTATTACCTCCCCTGTTTACAGTCGCAGCTATTTACAATAGAGCGAAAACCCATGACTCTAAACTACCTTTTACTATTTATAAATTGCTGACTCTGTTACCCAAACACTGAGCGAACTCTCCGCTCCTCACCACGGCGTGTTTCCCGGTGATGCGGTTATCACTCCGCCAAAGTAGCTGTGCTTCGCCTTCAGAGAATAGTTCAAGATGTCTGTGTCTCATTTGACTTTGTTATTTGTACATTCTGTGACTATACAAATCACAACATGTAAATAGGAAAACGTTTGCGTTATTTTGCCACTCATTTGGATTCGTATGAAAGCTGCAACCATTCACACCCAGTCTTTGTGCTAAGCTAGGCTAGTGGTGGGTGCGTCAAACAGACTTATAGCACGCACGGAGATGAAAAAGGTATGAACTTATCTAACTTTGGGGGGTAAGGTGAATAGGCTAAAGTCCCAAAAAGTCGGAGTGTTCCTTTAAAGATGGTAGTAACAGACAGAATAGGTTAAAAGCAGCTAAGTGCTATATCCTCAAGTCTAATTTTAACTTGGTTTTTCTCGATTGTTTACACACATTTACAATGACCACAACATGTAACTCATTCACCAACCCCCTGAACCAATTCTGCTGAACTACAAGCACAATTCCTGCTTTACACTCAAATTGCAGTTCTAAAACACACGTTTTTCAAAACACTACACACAATTTTCATGCAGAAAATCTCTTGTTTTCATGAGGAACACACTGCCATTCAAATATTCACACTGACTCGTCACATGGGCAAACACCTGTCGCACAGTTTTACAATTAGCGATCAGAGCTTTAGCATAAAATACCAAAATCAAAGAGAGGATGCAGCATAGATATTTTTTTATTTCTTTTTTTACTGTAACAGTATAAATTCTGTTGTTTTGTATGTAGACCCAACACTGTATGTGCAACTTTGTGTTGGTTGGGGTGTACAAAATGTGGGTCTCCCATCTCCCATTGATTTTGTGGGAAAAATACAGTAAAATATATTTGTTACCGTGTATTTGTGTGTTCTGGGTATAAAAAACAATATTCTCAAATATTTTACAACACACTTATCAATGTAATGTCTGTAGTAAGTGTAACACTGAACAAAAAAGGCCTAAGTCATTATGATGAATGGAGAAGTTTTCTATTGATCATAGTGTTTTACATTGAGCACATCAGTGTTCAACTGGTTCTTTTAAATGTCTATTCATATGATGGTTTGTGTGTCATTTGAAAACAAAATACCATTTTGAGAAGAAATAACATTGTTTTGAATGTAAAGTTTCATTTTGCAGGAGAATTGAGGGGTTTTGCCAATTGTGTGAGTGTTTTTAGATTAGCATTTAAAAATGTCACCCCACTTCCTCATTGTATTGTTTTTTTCTCGATCTATGAGTCACATTTTACTTAAGACTTCCAGTTAATCCTTGCTTGGCTTTTCTTTCTTTTTTTCATTCACAAAAAGCAATTTAAAGATGGCTTTCTATTTGTTACAAAAGTCTTAAACACAATACTATTGTGTTTGTGTGTATATAGATACACATTGTATATTTAATGCCATCAATCAATACAAACATGTTTTATTAATTGCATTGTTTAATGGCAAATGTTTCAATGAAAGCATCACTGATGCCAATACCACTATGATGTCTCCTGAAACTGATTTTTTTTGGTAACAATTCACAAACCCATTATAATAAATGCCACATTTACCTATGCCTTCAAAATATCAAGGGCTCAAATTTTGCTATTGATTCAGATTTTTACATTCACTGTCAAAACAATGCACAGTTGGGGTTTTTTGATCCATGTAAATACTGTAGTGCTGAAAGATTGTTAGGTAGGTCTAACAGGTATACAAAGATATCAAACATTTCAGTTTTCACTGCATAAATTATAAATGAAATATAGCAGTGAGTGACTTTGTTATTTGACTAACATGACATCAGAGCAGTATGTTTATTAGCCTGCTGTCATTTGAAGACCTGACGCACATGACTTGGATCTGGCATCCTATTTTTTCACCCTAACTGTTTACTTGCATTTAAAAGTTAGTTTAATTGTGGTTGTGAGGATAGCCTTATTGCATTAATTTTGACAGCAGCACTAAAATATATATAATTTATGTCTCTGGTCATTTTAAACATTTAAAAGGATTGGTAATTACTTTTCCCTAAAAGGAAAAATGTTTGCAAGGCTATTAATCCAGTCAGGATTTTTATTTATGGAAATGACAACATATTCACCAGTATTTAACACGCATCTTAAACAGAGAACAAGACCGTATGCCCTTGTGCATTTCTAAATGTACTACTGATTCACCAATAAAAAACAAATCAATAACAAATACATACATGATTTTATGCTGCACTGATTCAATTTTAAGACACTGTAGCTGATCACCATGGGCAAATAAGCACAAAGCATCCAGGACTGACATCACAAAGCATTTCATTATTCACACAATAAATATATCACATCAGCACAGTCAAGTTCCCATGGCCTGAGCTCGGATTCAGCATGTTTATTAATATAAAAACAGCACTATCTGTAAATAATCCCTACAGTCAGACAAAACAGCTGTTAAAATGAGTCCTTAAGACATTCAGCTTTTATTATATCGTGATAAAAATGTCATGACATTCTACTGTGGTGATAGTGACAACACATCTGCTGTACACTGTGATCTTCCAACGGGACCTTAAACAGTAGTCATCAGATCAGTCTGTGCCTACAACAGTCATTCTCATTATACAAACACAAGCATTCTGTTGTAAACGACACTTCAAGCATGTTTCAAAAATAGAATTCATTCTTTTATGTTTATTAAATAGCCACAAAATTGTTTAGAATGCAAACTGAATGATCTAAGTTTTATACAGTCAATTAGTCGATAATACTTTACCAAACTTCAGAAATCCTCGATTTTCGTCAAACATTTTTGGTATGTAAAGACATTGTGCTGGATCTCAGTAGCTCAAGTCAAAGACACATGGAACCAGCCATTATTCGACCTTGGATTAAAAAATCCATGTAAACTGAGATTGACTTGCTCTATCAAGCGTCATAATATTGAGACCAAGGTAAAATCTCCCTTTCTTCACTGTATCAAGAAAAGAATACAGTATGGCATCTTTAAACTCTTCTTTAATGTAAATGTTACATTTTCAACTGTCATCTAAAACGTGGCATGACTCCCCTTTAAGCACACAAACAGTTTTTTGCACCTCTACACCGATTTATGCTACATTATATGCTGCATTATAGTGCATCATAGTCTTAACATTTTAATGCATTAGAGCAATGCAGCTTTACGAGATTGCAAGAATATTTTCGTTACCCACAAGTAGAAGATCATTTAAATCAGCAAACTCATGAGGTAAATCACGTGAGTCTGAAATAACACTTAACAGAGGATGGATGAGCAACTACTATGTTTGATGACCGGTCTCCATTCCAAGAATATATATTGAGCACTTACAACATATTTATGAAGATCTGAGAAGACAGTCTTCATTCGAAGTTTAGATCAGGGATTGCTTTACGATTTAGTCTATTTAAAAATATATATATATTTTTTTCAGGTGCAATACAAGTTAAAGGGATAGTTCACCCAAAAATGAAAATTCTGTCAGTATTTACTCACCCTCATGTTGTTCCAACCCCGAAAGACCTTCGTTCATCTTCACAACACAAATAAAGATATTTTTGATGAAATCTGAGAGCTGGATTACTCCTGCATACTAGTCCATAGGCTTCATGAGGAATTGAAACTTTCCGGCCTCAAAGTTATTAAACACATCGTTAAAATAGTCCAAGTGACTACAGTGGCTCAATCTTAACTTTATCAAACGACGAGAACACTTTTTGTGCGCAAAAACAAACAAAAATAACGACTTTATTTCAACTGTTCACTTCCTTCTCTTTGCGCCTCTAGTCAGTTAGCGTAGTGGGATAGCGTAGAGGTACGTCACACGTAGGCTCACTATTGGCCGACGCTGTTCATGTGTGTGATGCGTGTGACGTACAACAACAGATCATACGCAATTACACTAGTTTAACTGACTAGAGGCACAAAGAGAAGGAAGCGAATAGTTGTAATAAAGTCGTTATTTTTGTTGTTTTTTGCGCACAAAAAGTGTTCTCGTCGTTTTATAAAGTTAAGATTGAGCCACCGTAGTCACTTGGACTATTTTAACTATGTCTTTAATAACTTTTTGAGGCCGGCAAGTTTCAATCCCTCAAGAAGCCTATGGACTTGTTTGGAGGAGTGATCCAGCTCTCAGATTATAAAATATATTGTAATTTGTGTTCCGAAGATGAACGAAGGTCTTACGGGGTTGGACCAACATGAGGGTGAGTAAATACTGACAGAATTTTCATTTTTGGGTGAACTATCCCTTTAAGCTATGTATGCACTAAAAATTGAGGCTACAATAAAGGTCTTACTTTTATAGTAAATGGGTCCAATGTTTAAAAATTTAAAGTGATAGTCCATCCAAAATTGATTCTGTCATTTACTCACCCTCATGTTGCATTTCTTTCTTCTGCTGAATACAACAATAGAGATTTCGAACAGTTTTGGTTCCCAATGGAAGAAAACAACTTTTTTTTGTCCACAATGATAGTATATTTTATATAGTATTAATGTAGTATTTTAGTGTTCACGAATTGGCCCCATTCAAGTCCATTGTAAGTGCCTCACTGAAACCCACATTTTTGCTTTCTTAAAAAAAAAATGTTTTTAGTGGTAATCAAGATTAAACCCCAAAATGCTGTCGGGGTTAATTCCACCATTTGGACAATCTCAATAGGCAAGTACATACTAGACTTTAGTGTATGCTTTTTAATCAAGTTCCTGGGTTTTTATGGGCTAGGCCTAATTGTGCTTACAGTCATTTGCACATATTCAGTAAGCACACTGAACGGTTTCATCACGTCAAGAAACAGGAAGCCAGATTGGCATCGTTTTTTAGAGGGCTGTTAAATACGCTGAATCTCAAGTGATATATTCAAGTAATTTTCACAATTCTGTGGCCAGTCAGTGACTTGCGAGAACCCTCGGGTAAAGATGTCTTCCTCGATTGAAGGTTATGTTGATAGAAGCTGAAACATCTATTTGATCATGGGGTCGTCACCTCCCGGAGAGGTTAGGACAGGGAAGTCCACAAAGGGCTCGGTTTTATCTTCCTGGGGCGAGTTGATGGTACCGTCTGGCATGGAGGTGAAAGCCAGGTGGTCATGTTCCATGATGGCCAGGCGATCCTGGGGCTTCTCTTTCGTCAGGTAAAACATCTTCCTAAGCTGCTTCAACTGCTGCAGCTCACAGAAGGTCTCCAACACCACCAGCATGGCAATCAGACCGAGGAGGAGATACACTGTGGGGAGAGAGATGGAGAAATGAAGTAATGTAAAGTTTATATACTTACTTTTGAGTTTAATGGTGTGTTTCACCTCAAACATTTCTCTGTCTACTCTACATGTCTGTGTGTGTGTTTCTTGCTTCATTGTAGCTTGAAAAGCTTATTTTTTTTATTAGTTAATATTTATTTATTAGTTAACCCAAAAACTAAAAATTCAGTCATTTACCCGTATGACTTTCGTTACAGCTACACATCTACCACTTTGACACTTCAAAAAGTTCATAAAGAGATCATCAAATTAATCCATATGAATTGAGAGGTTTAGGCCAAATTTTCTGAAGATACTTTATCGCTTTATATGAGATTGAATTTAGGCTTTTATTCAGATGATTGAAGCTCAACCAAAACTGCTTGTTGCGCAAGAACAAATCTCATTGGTTCTTGTAGAAGCTCAAACGTGCTGCGTAACACGAGAGAATGAACAGTTAAGAGAACATGCTTGAGCACCGTTTACCATAACTGATGTGTGAGTTGATGAACGTTTATATGTGAATGAAAGCCTAAATTCAATTTGATCATCAGATAAAGCAATCAAATATAAACCGCTCAATTCATGTGGATTAGTTTTACGATCTCTATAAACTTTTTGAAAGCTGTCTATGGTGGAAAAGAAAGCTTTCAGATTTCTTTCTTCATTTGTGGTTTGAAAGCACATGAGGGTGAGTAATTAATGACAGAATTTGGGATTTTTAGGTGAACTAACCCTTTAAAGCTACACTGTGTGATTTTTACCCCCATCTAGCGGTGAAAAGGTATATGTCCATCCAGTGAATATTAGTTTCTGTTCCTCTCAATTCCGATGTCGTTTGAACTCCTACGGTGGCCAATGTAGTCCAAGATTAACATGGCTTCCAGTTCAATCTCGTCCATGAGTGTTAACTCAAACGTAAACGCGAAAGGCGAAGCTTGAATTAACGGATATGTCTCACTTTGGCTAATGTACTTTCAAGATGGAGGGGCAACATGGCGACCGGCATCAGAACCCCTTACCCGTATGTGTTTTCAATGCCATATTATACACTCATGAGAATACTTTATTAATTGAACGAAGTAAATGTACATTAATGAGCACATATATTTTTGAAAGAACTAAGTGTTTTTAGCTAAAAAATAAACTAAAAGAGTTACACAGTGTAGCTTTAAGTAATCCATATAATGCCCATTCTCAAAATCAGATTTTTGATGGTTAGGCCTAAAGTTAAGTCCTGATCTAAATTTCTTCATAAAGAATACATCACATTACAAAATGCTAAATAAAATAGGTTGTTTTAACTTTAAAGGAAATGTGTTTATATGCCAACTCAAGGATCATGAATAAAATGCTTTTAGACTGCAGAGAGTCAGAGCAAAAGAACTATGAGACTTCAAGCCAACTCCGCATGTGTGGGCCTCACAAATGCCATATCCTCCTCCACAATTACGCTACAACAGCAAATGTGGACCTTTCTCACCGACTCCCACATACAGAATAGAAGGATGGGGCCATCTGCATCAACTAAACCCACATAAGTACACAAGCCATGTGGGATTTTCATGCAACTTTTTTTTTTTTTTAAATGAGAGCTGTACTGCTTCATTAGTAATACAAACACTAGATGGAGCAGTTGAGCGGCAGTGGACGAACTATTTGAACCCTTAAATCACATGCACTTCCTTTTTACCTTCCATCTGTTCCTATGACAACAGGCCAGACTTACACATGAACATATTTATATATACAAAAGGAAGTAAGCAGAGTATTTTTACTTGCATATCATGCAGTTTCATTAACGAGAAGAGGAACTGAATCGACAAGTGTTTATTCAATAAAATACGTCACTATGAGAAAAAAAAAAGTCTTGAGTAAATATAATGGCCAATAAATTCGACCACAATGTTAACATTTTAGTAACCAAAAACTACAACTAGAACATAAAATCAGTTTACACTACAAAAATACCACAGAACATGCTTACGTTTGACATTTGTTATTCAGTAGTCAGTATTTCTGAGAGTTTTTTTTTTTTTTTTATGCAAACATTCTTAATACATAAATATTTCTACTAAGAGGCAGCTTGAATCTGATTGGGTGACAAATGTTTTAAGGTGTGCAATTGTTTTCAGGGAAATGCAAAGCTAAGTTACAGTTCCTTACAACAGACTACAGCAGAAGAACCAAAACCCACAATGACACTAACCAGAAAATAAATATAGGGGAGACCGGGGATGGTTGCAACACAGGTCAGTTGTAACAATTCCAATCTGACCAATCAGGAACTAGTTACAAATCCTCTGATTCACTTCGCACATGCTCAGTTTAGTCCTTATTCCACATGTAATAAAATAGAGCCCTGTGGCAAACACAGCAGATGTTAAGAGTGCAAAAAACAATTTTGAGGTATGAAAGTAACTTTTTTCCTTTATAGTTTTATCTGCTTTATAGTTAAACTCATCAAATTTAAATGATGTTAATTGTGTGTCTGTGTAGATATTTTTCATGCAAGTTGTTAGTGCTAATATTTTGCCTGTTAGCTGTAAGGTGAGCTAGTTCATGGCTACATGACTCTGGGTTAGTTATAACAACAATGAAACGTTACAATAACACCTTACACACGTCACACGTTCAATTTAAATTTTATTATGGCCAATACTATGACTGAGAGTAACAAACAAGCTTACACACAAACAATGTTTTGTGTTCAAGTTAAATTTATAGTGGTCAATTGCTATGACTAAGAGTGACACACACACACACACTTTTTTTTTTTTCGGTCAAAATCCTTATTTCATTATGTTACATATCAACCCAGGGTATGTTACAACTAACCCAGACTATGGGGTGAATTGTAACATTTCACTCTTCGTGTTTGGAACTAAACCATGTATTTTCTGTTTGTGTTGCAAATATAAAAGTTATGTCATTTGATAGCAGACACGTGTATCTAGTTTGAATCACATTTTTTTTTAACACACTGGCTTAAAAGTACTCCAAGATATAGACAGAAAGGTCAAAAATGTTACAACCATCCCGGTCTCCCCTAGTAAACAACAGGATAAAAACAATTAATTTCCATGTTTTTTTTTTTGCCACAAAAAATGATCTTGAAATAGGCTACATCATCGGAACAATGTTTTGAGGTGTGGCAACCATATTAGACCGTTGATTTATTGAAAAATAATGCACACCCGAGCTTTGACTGAAAGTTTAAATCCTCAATTTTTTGCATTCTGACAAAAATTCAAGTGTTTCCATTACCCTTTAAACTGTGCAAATTGAAATTGGGCCCAATGGAAACGCTTCAATTTCACAAAAACTCCCATATATCGCTCGCGTGAGGTATTTTGTTAGGCAACTTAAAAAAGCAATATTTCACAAAACTGCAACAGAAACTTTTTTCGCATTTCCAGATCATGGCGCCTACATAAAAGTTGATCATTCTTTAAAGATGACGTGGTATGTTTGGACAGAAGACGAGACAGAGTTCTTATTAAAATCATAAAGGATAAAAAATTACGGTAATACTGGATTCTAAAAAACAAAGAAATACCACAATTAATCAAGACCTTGAAGCAGATATGAGGGAGAAACACCCAGAAACACCTCATTCGTGGCTCTTCTAAGTAGAAGGGGCTTTTGTTGCCATTAATGCATGGATAACATGCCTAGTTTAGTCACATAACATCGGTTAATGGAAACGCCATCTTTTCTCAATAGTTTTTTATCGACATTTAGAAAATATCGCAAAAGTTTTGCGCAAATCTACAATGAAAATGTGGCTGCATCAACTGGGATTTTCAGAATTTTCAAAAAATAAACGAATAAAACCAAATAAACTGTAAATTTAGCATGTATAGGTATGAAACAGCTTCACAAACTGTCTCGTTATTTCTGTTACAAATAATCACATTACCAAAGAAGTAGGCTAAATGGGATAGAAGTTTATATTAAAGTTTGAATATAAACACTGATGTCTATGGAAGTGATCAAAATAGAGCAAATCACCTTTTGAAAATAACTTGACACTTCAAATAACGATTGTATCGATTACATTATTACACCAGTAGTTGGTGACAAGTGACTGTTAAAAAATATATTTGTCATTGAATCATTCATTTAAGAGATTTGTTCAAAAACGTTGATTCATCCAGGAATACAACAAGTGAAGTATTTATGAGCGAGTCATTGAATCATTCACTCAAACAACAACAACAAAAAACCCCAAACATTTGGATTATTTCAACGTTTTAAATAGACTGTAGAAATTAATTAATTTTAGTCAGAACTTCCTGTAAATTTTATGTTATTTTATTTAGTTATCTGTTCAGAATCTAGGGCTGTCAAACGATTAATCACGATTAATCGCATCCAAAATAAAAGTTTGTGTTTACATAATGAAAATATGAAATACACATGAAAATATTTCTTAAATATATACAAGCATGTGTATGTATTTATATATATAAAATAATTATACACAGTGCACCCACATATATAATGTAAACACAAACTTTTATTTTGGATGCGATTAATCGCGATAAATCGTTTGACAGTCCTATCAGAATCGTGATTCTCTGTTTGAAGCAAAAAAAAATTGTGATTCTCAATTCATCCAGAATCGTGCAGCTCTGAGCCAAAACAAAACAAACACCTACCAGTAATGACCAGCTTGTAGAGCTCACGAAACTTCTGGTTGAAGGCCTCTCCAGGCACATAGTCACCCAGACCGATGGTGGAGAGAGAGATAAAGCAGAAGTAGAAGGATTCCAGAAAGTTCCAGTTCTCTTCTAGGGCGGAGAAGATGGCCGCAGGGATGAGGAAGAAACAGGACACAGCCACGACAGCCAGCACGGTTGCATGTACGAGGGCCACCAGGGGTTTAGACAGACCCCAGCGCGTATGCACGTACATAACGGGCCGCCATGTGCTATAGACCATAATCCTTTGCACCACAGCCGTTAGGAAGAGGAGGGTGAAAGGGATGCCAATCACAGAGTAAATGATGCAGAAAGCCTTCCCACCATCAGAGAGAGGAGCAGTGTGACCATATCCTGTGAATTATAAGGTGGAAATTACACATTAAACATTCCCATTTTCCGTCCGGACACTAGCATATACCCATGGATTAGCACACTCTATTCCTTAGCACTGAAAACAAAACCATACTGTCTCACAGCCATTGCCAGACACAGATTAACACGTTAAGTCCCATCCTGGATTATCAACGAATGAATTATTCAGTCAGGCAATGTAATTTCATTTCTGTGTGTCTGTCCCTGAAATAAACAGATTATACTGCTCTCATTTCTGCCCACAGCAGTTTGATGCCTCCCTAGAGCTCACAACTAATGGACAATCTCACATTATGGGCATCAACAATCAGGTTAGTTTGCAGGGTCTCTATAAATGCCTCGCGCCTCAGACACAACTGCGCTAGAAGGATTTGCGCTACAGAGCAAAGTCAATTCATACGGAAGCAAGAAAAACATACAAAAACAAAACATACATACATAGACATACATTTGAAAAAGAAATGACCAAAGAACAATATCTAGTGATTCTAGTGAGTAAGTTTATGCCCAAACTCTTGAACTCTGTCATGGAAACCATCTATAATCAATTAAAAAGGATTTTATACCTAAGATTTTACACTGTATTGGACCAGCGGTTTGGAAATAGATGGATGATTTATCTGTGTTCATCTTCTGGTCAGACGCGGAAATTCAAATACATCATGCGTGCGACTCTCACAGTGCATTCTGGGGAGCATGATGTCTTTTATGCCAAATCAGGTTAAAAAAACGTGTTTTCTTCTTATTCCGCTCTCTATCAAACTGTGTTGTTCAAACTTCCTTTTTTCGATAAAAAGAAAGAAGATTTGAAACTATATTTTGTGCAACATGCATACAGGTAAAGGGGAACTAGATTAACTGTCTGTGTTAATGATAAAATGGTTGAAAAACTTTTTTCCTGGTAAATCATGACAGTGCTTTTCCTGATACAACCCCATATCCAGATTTTGTAAAATGCAATAAATCAATAAAATCAAGAATATGTGATTTGTTAATTCTCTTGAACCTTTATTTAACTGACAAAATTACAAAGAAAAGATTTCCAATGTTTTCACTCATCAACTTAATTGTATTTTGATTTTGATGGCTGCAACACACTCCAAAAAGTTGGGAAAAACTAAATCCTTTTAATTGAACTTTTTAAACACTTGGGAATTGAGGATACTAATTGTTGCAGTTTTGCCATTTGTTGAATTTTTACCCAATCTTGCCAGATACGAGACTGCTGCTCAACCGTCCATGGACGTCGTCTGATTCTCCTTTCTATGATGGGACATACATTTTCATTAGAGACAGATCTGGACTTCGCAGCCAGTCAAGCACTGTACAGTGTAGTGTCAAGCAAGTGCAAAATGAGTACAGGACAGGTGTCTTGCTTCCCAGAAAAGATCTCTTCTTGATGGTTATTTCTATGAGCACATGTCTTTGTACAATCTTTCACACATTTTCAAGTCACTCATACCGCTTGCACTGATCCACCCCCATAACATGACAGATGTCTGTGACAGATTTCTGCACAGAATTGATGTATTTCTTCTTGCGCAACAGTGATTCAAGTTGTATTTCTTGATGCACCAGTATACTTTGTTAAGGGACAAAATAGCCTACTCCAGAGCCCACGTGGCCATTTTTAACACAGTACAGCATGTTTGGTTTCTCATGCAATGACATCTGAGGGCTCAAAGGTCACGCACATTTCCTGCCTTGCCCCAACATTGACTGAGACTTCTCTGGATATCTTGAATCTTTTCATAAAATTATGTATGGTAGATAGTGAAAGACACAAATTCTTTGCAATCTGACACTGAGAAATGTGACTTGGATTGTTTGGTAATTCTCTTTGGAACAAAGAGAATTGCCAATTTGGAATTTGGAACAAAGTGGTCATGACCCATTTTTGCTTGCAAAGACTGAGATGCTCCTTTTATACCACTAACCCTCCTTTATTACCAATTTACATGCCTTTGTGGATGGTTTAAAATGGTTTAACTAACTTTTCTGGAAATGGGGTTTAATAAGCTAGTTCACACTTCCTCAAAAAATCCTAACAAACACCAAATTCGGTTTCCAGTGGTAATTGGGCTTTATGAATCCATGTGTTAACCTGGTGCTGTTTTCTAGAGCAGTGCTTATCAACTTATCAACATAATCAAAATTTGCTAAAAAAAAAACTGTTTTACACACTATACTGCATGCCTTACCCTCTGAGTTCAGACATTTTAGTAAATAAATGGCCTTTTAGTATAATTATAAATATTGTCTTTTTGCTATGAAATCTTGATTTCGTAATAACTTTAATATTTCTTTTTTTATTAATAAGATGAGCATTTACTGGACTGAAGCAACTTAAGTTTAATTGATTATCCATACTTTTGTTGTTGTTGTAAAAAATAATGTTAAAATGTATCAAAAATTAATTATACAACAGGCATTTGAGAAATGTTTATTCATTGTATTTCACTGCATGATTTTTATGATTTGTTTCCCGATATTTACATGCAGACTTGATTTTCATTACAAACTCAAAAAAATCATATTCCATTTTAGCCATCTGCACCAAGTTGCATATTCTTGCTCACACTGTAAAAAAGTATTGTTGGTTTAACTTAAAAAATTAAGTAACCTGATTGCCTTAAATTTTTAAGTTGATTGAACTGGAAATAGTGAGTTAATGCAATGAAGGAGATCATCAGAAACTTAAAATACCAAGTTATCTGAACTAAATAAATTATTTAAGTTGATTTGACAAAAGAAAAAATGGTGTGATAACAAATCTTGAAAATATTTTTTACAATGCAATAATGAATCATTTTATTCATGATATATTCAATAATTATTTAATATGTCAGTTAAAGAAGATGGTCTTTCATGTTATACTGGATTGAGTTGTACATGCTGAGTCTTGTTATGAATGGCGAGTTTCATAATGATAGAAGAGGGGTATCGTTTTAACTTAAAGTTTTCTTATGTCTGGGAAACACTTCTATAGAACAGAAACTAAAACTCGTTATCTGCATGTCTGAGCTTCCTCTTCTCTGTATGTGATCATGCAGGACCATATCTCTAGGCCTTAATAATTCACAACCTGGAGAAGACCAAATTATAGAGATCTTCTATAAAGTTGTTGTCCGTTCATGCCTGTTTGAGAATTGGATACCTGTCTAAGGTAACATTTCTGCGTACCTGCCTTAGGTGTTAAATGACAGACCTGAGAGTCTCGAAAGGGAACAAAGAAAATGGAGAAAAACAAGAAGGCTACAAAAGAACATTATCATGTTTTTATCAGAAGTGGGTTAAACTTATTGGAAAAAGAGTCGAAAAGGACAAATGAGAAGACTGTATTGTGTGTTGTTGTTGATATTGATGCCTTGCTGAAGCCTTAAAGATAAATATAGGTAATTGCAAATAGAATCATCAAATGGTGCACCATTAAAAATCATGAATTACAACGGATATTAAGAGTATCAGGGTCCAGGGATGATGTCATGCAGTCATATAACTTTATGATTCGCATTGCTCTCACCTGTGGTTGATAAGACAGTGCTTGCAAAAAACAAAGACGACGTGAAGTCCCAGTTCCAACTGGCCGATGCGTTGTTGAGAATAGACACCCCGTAGTTGCTGGCCTCCAACGCTTTGGACAGAAACCTCTCCAGGCGCTCCTCGGACAGACATTCGTGCTCCTTGAGGAACTGTCGTTTGATCTCTCTGAGCTGCTGGCGCAGGACGTCTTCATACGGCAGCTCCACAGAGGAGAACACCACCGCACCGAATATGAGATATAGAATATAGCCGAGCACCAGAAACAGAAAATACCATGCCGATTTGTTGCTCTGTATCAAGCGCACACACGAATTACCGGCGAGGGATTGGAGCATCTTTAGTTTTCCTATTTGATCCGATGTTGATGAGGTCGCGCTCGCGTGGTTTAGATGCGTTTAATGCCCTTGTTTAAACGAGTGGCTCCGAATGCAGCCCGAGGAAGATCGAGCTCAGCTCGTATCGGGGACGTGACGTCACTGACTCTCGCCCACCAGGTAACACATCAAGAGAGGAAAGAGCATCGATGCAGTTGATCAACTGTCTGTGCCGAGTTAAACATCCTCCGACTTTCATCATTGTTGCAATCTCAGGCACAGGATGTGGTAACACTAACAAGCATTAATTCATGCTTAATGTGTAACTAATGATTGTTTGAGCTATTAATTTACCACATTATGAACTAGGCTAATTAAGAGTCTGTATATGAATTGTTATTAATTAAATATGTAATTGTGGATTCATTCCATAATAACTCATTTTTTAACTAATGAGCCAAAGCCTTTCAACTTCCAGATAATATGAAAGGTACACTAATATGCATTAATACATGATTAATTACTTTGTTATTGCAAATTCATGTGCAAATTACTACAATTACTAAATGAAAGGTTAATAATGATCTGCCTCAACAAGTAAAGTCATAACATAATGATACCTTTGCAAATCATTAGCTAATGATTAATTAAAGCAGACAACTGGAAGTTGAAGTGCATAGGTTTTTTTTTACTTTCACAGAATAAGTTTTTTTTTTTACTTTCACAGAACCATGTAGGCTATACCTCTCGTTTTACCATTCAGTCTAAACTTTAACCCTGTCTGGTAATAAAGATAAGTTTACTGATAAAGACAATCTAAACTTTGACAAGTTACACAATACGGCCCATATTTTCTACACATGACAGTTTCATTCTTTGATATGGCCTTGTTTCTTGAATATGATGCAGACACATGCGGCCGACTGTTTCCAAGGTAACAGTGTGAAGTTGGTGAGGTAGTGAAATCTGGGCTCTTAGGCCAGTTGGGAATTCATTCACCACTTTTAGACACACTTTCTCACATAGGGGTGGACACAATAATTTTGAAATGCCTTGAAATTAATGACAAAACTTTCAGAAGAGCATCAATACATTGATTTTAAGCTGCTAAATGGCACAGCATGATGACTTCAAGGTAGATTCTTTTGGACTCATTCTTAACAAAAACTTGAGCTTTGTTTCAAATCTGTTTTTCAGAAGCCATTTGTTTAAAAGAGATAACTTGCGTAGGACTGCAAAGCCAGAGAAACGCAGAACTACTTTCCTGTAACATATCTGGTCTTTCACTTCTTTATACAGTGGAACATGTAGTCTTAAAGTTGGCAGGACTTTAAACCCTGAACAAAAGCAAATATGCCTGCTGTGACTTTTTAATATGACTTTTTATATCATCTTGCCAGGCTGTTGAAACTCTAAAAATAGAGGCTTTTCTGTGTGATAGTTTGTTATTTCAGGATTCTGTATTGGGAATTTAAACCTCTGAGCAGTAACAGGAGGTGGATTGCGAAGTCTTTCTTTTACTGATGGTACAATATAGCCACACATTACAATTTTGCACAAAGCAGGATGGGATCTGTGTGGTGCCATCATAGACTGAAGAGGACTCATAGTATTCAGTAAAATAGGTGTTATAGTGATATTAAACGTCTGGACTGGAACAGTGTTTCTTGTCAATAAAGTAGAAATATCTACTTCAAGCAACGTGTTTGTAACAGTGTAAAATATTAGCACAGAAAATGGCGCCACTTAGTGGGAAAACTTGATACAAGACACAAAGACAAAAATTGTTCTCTCAAAATGCTTGCCGTAAGACTTTCTAGAAAGAAAAATGCAATGTTGTATTTACACTATCTGGCTATGTGAACTGTTTTAATCAATGATGGATTGGCAATATATTTTACTTTGGTTAAACAGGTTTTTTCCCCCGAACAATTTTGAACTCAAAGCGACACGTATAGTCTTTGATGAACTGGTCTGAAATTTTATAGGGATTATTTATGCATGCTTTAATGGGTAAATCTAATTGACTAACAAGGTTGCAATTATTATTGAATTACCAAAGACAAAACAGAGCATTCATTTAAAAATTTTCTTTAAAAAAATACATTTATTTCCAAGGCAATGCTAGGCTATTCCATTGTCCATATAAGCTCATATTTACCTCTTGTTCATTCTTGGCATTAAAAACAACAACAACAAAAAAAAATGTGTGTGACCTGTCTAGTCTTGTACCTAGGATATGACACTCTCTAATTAGTCTCTCCTGGTTCAGTGAATTTCTTCACCTCCCACTGCACCCTTTTTTGTTGTTCTCTTGAATCATGAATTGACCATCATCAATCAGGCTGTCCTCTAGGCAAAGCTTTAGTATGAATACAGTTGTCAGAATTATGTTGGTACCCCTGGTATCATCAAATAAGGGTGTAAAAAATAAACCTGCATTGTTTATCCTTTTTATCTCTCATTCAGAAAATTCACAAAAATCTAATCTTTCATAACACATTTGAAAGTGGAGGGTAAATCCCATTATGAAATACATGTTTTTCTTTAAAACATGTTGGCCACAATTATGCTTGCTTTTATTAAATATTTTATTTTGCAACCTCATTTTTCCAAGATAACAGCTCTGAGTTTTCTCATATAATGCCTGAGGAGTTTGGAGGACCTGACAAGAGATCAGAGATAATTCCTCCATACAGAATCTCTCCAGATCCTTCAGATTCCCAGATCCATGTTGTTCTTCTCTTCAGTTCACTTCAACCCACTCATTTCAGGTCTGGAGACATGACAGAAGCTTCATTTTATGCATAGTGACACAGTATTGTGTTGATTTTGATGTTTTATTTTGGACCATTGTCCTGATAGAATATCCAACCACTGCCCTTTCTATATGTTCTATATTTTTTTTAGGCTTTCTGACCCCAAGACTCAACTAATCTCTGCATTTCTCCATCTGTGATCCTTTTGCTTCTCGCCGTACATTAGGATTAGACACATGTTGTCTTCCAGGCAGATTCATCACATCTTTAGTTGATTGGAACTTCTTAAATATTGCCCTGATGGTGGAAATGGGGATTTTCAATTCTTTAGCTATTTTCTTATACAGCCACTTTCCATTTTGTGATGGTCAACAATCTTTTACTGCACATCAGAACTCTATTCTTTGGTTTTACTCATTGTGATGGATGATTAAGGGAATTTGGCCTTTGTGTTTCCTTATATTTATGTAACAGGAAGTCATGGCTGCACAATTTAATGCTGTTTGTCACCAAAAAAACTAAAACACTTAAAACTAAATATGAGGAGGAATAATACTTCAGAGATATTTTACTCATAAAAAGTTCTAGGTGTGCCGATAATTGTGGCCAACATGTTTTGGAGAAAAAAAATATTTATTTCATAATGTGATTTACCCCCGCACTTTCAATTCTTTTACTTAAATGAAAGGTTAGATTTCTGTGATTTTTTAAATTAAAGATCAAAAGGGATAAACAATGCAGATTTATTTTGATTTTATCTTTGATCATAGCAGGGTTGCTAATAATTCTGACCACAACTGTAGCTGTCCCACAGTCTACTGAGCTGTCCACATTTTCCTATTTATAATAGGTTAAAAATGTATTTAAAAAAAGGAAGTAACCTGGTTGCGTTAAAGTTTTAAGTTCATTAAATAAAAAAATCAGTTAATACAATTAAGTAGTTGTAGTTTTTTTAATCTTTTGTCAAATCAACTTAATTAATTAATGTGGTTCAGATAACATAATATTTTGAATTTTAAAATTTCAATGAACTCAAAATTAAGTTAAACCAACAATATTTTTTTACAGTGTAAAATTGTAAATTCAGTCATAGTGATTGGTCCTATGCTGGGATGCATCATCAGTGATGTATCCTGCGTTCATTGTGTGTTTCGGCCCTCACAACATCATACATCCTCGCCCAAGGGACCCAGCTGGGGTTGATCAAGCCCAGACTTAAGTCTCACCAGTGTTAGCCCATGCATGGATCTCCTCTCTTTATCCACAGCCATCCAGAAGCTCTCTCTGCTGCTTCTATTGCAGCCCTGATGGCTGTTATCTTCAATGGCCCGCTCATGCCCAGCAGGGTGTAGCCTAGGCTCTGTAGAGAGAGGATCCAGTAGACCTCTACACCCTTCTTCTACTGGGTGGCATTGTGCTCTCCACCCCTGCCTCCGGCATTCTTCCACAAGTTCCTGGTACTTGGCTTTCTTTCTCTCGAATGCTTCTTCCAAATGGTCTTCCCAGGGCACAGTCAGTTCTCATGGCGAGCTGTTTCATGACCTCTGACAGAATTATGATGTCAGATATCAAAGATATCACTGCGAATCGATATATGTGCCGGGAACTTGAGTTGTCTGCCTAGATCGACCATCAGCTGCAGGTCCAGGCCTTATGCAATTATTGGCTGTGGTTTGGGCTTCTCCTTTGCCTTTATGAATGACATCTATCTGCTATCTGGGGGAGTGGTGGTGCCTGCACTTTGTTATGGCTGAGGAGACACACTTGGCCACTACCTTCAGCACTTGGTCGTGCCACCAGCGCTATCGGCAACTCAAGGCCTTTCGGCAGCTGCTCAGGATGTGCTCGAGAGTTCCTCTCCCAGAGCAGAGAGGAAAGGATGGTGTGTCAACCTTGCCCCAGAGTTGGAGTTTTGCCAGGCTGGCAAGGGTATCATTTTATGGGCTGGGGCTCTGCTTTCACTCCATTGCACTCTCCCATCTCACCCCCTGCTGTCTCATGCCAGTCATTCTACTTGATCTTATTTCCCAACAGCTGCTCTCACTTCCTCCTGAGAAGCCACCTTCTCTCCTTGCCCTGGGCCTTGCTCTACTTAGGCGATGGATAGCTCCTGAAGCCTGCTGTTCCCTTCGCCACTGCCTTGTGTCTCAGCCTCGCTTCTGCCGCCTCCTGCTCCCTAATGGCACTCCATTTCCTGCCTGTGCGGATTTCAATGCTGGCCACTGAGACTTTTGGGTCTGTTGAGTCTCGGTACTGCAGTGCGGGAGAACTTGAATTCTTCCGTGATGCTTTTGAATGGAAGCTGCAGAATGTTGTCCCTTCTGCACAGAGCTGCGCTGCTGATGCTGCGTGGCAATCCCAGCCACCTGGGAAGGTACCCGCTGATCTTCCTCTCTATACTCTTTACTTCTCAGTGATGGATGGTATCGTGGTGCCATCCAGGGTAAAATGGAAATTTTCGGACACCCTGCC